AATGGGGAACAGTGTCCAGTTCTTGGCACCAAATTTTGGGAGGACATAGAAAATTGGAACGGGTTCAGAGAATGGTAATGAATATTATCAGGAGTATGGAAAAGAAGTCCTACTAAAAAGTTGAAGGAAATAGGTTTATTAACCTCCAGAAGAGAAGATTGAGGAAAGGAGTTGAGAGAAGTAGAGAAGGGGACAAAGACCTGTTCTCTGCTGTCTCTGAGGGCAGCATTGGGTTTAATGGGTTTAAATTACAGGATAGTACATTTCAGTTGAATATCCGGGGGGGGGGGGGGCTCTGGACTCTACAGCTCTGTGATTCTGAATAGTCGACAACATCAAGATTTTAACTGGGGCGGCTGCACCAGCTACCAATTTGTTTTGGGGCTCAATTCAAAGTACTGGTTTCAACTTATACAGCCTTATGTGGCTCAGGATCTCAGTACCTCAAGGCCTGCCTCTCCCCACATCAGCTAGCCTGGTCCCTGTCATCATCATCTGATTCTTCATGTGTGCCTTCTATGGGAGGTTTGGAGAAGGGCCTTTCCAGTAGTGGCCCCTTACTTGTGGAATGCTCTCTCCAGGAAGGCATGGCTGGCACCATCTTTGTCTATTTTCAGGTGCCACAAGGACTTTTCTCTTTACACAGGTTTTGGCCTTTTAATTTGAAGAGTCACACTGTGGATTCTTTCAGTGGGGTAGGATCAGTAAGTCCTGAATTGTTTTATATCCTTAACTGTGTTTTTAGATTTTTATTGGGTATTCTTAACTGGTTTCAATGTACGTCACTTGGGGTTCCTATGTGAGAAAAGCAGCTAACAGATATAAGAAATAAACTATGCAAAATACAAGAGCATCATTAAGAGCATCAGCCAAATTCATGAAGAATAAACTCCAAAAATGGTTATTAGTCATAGCAAGTGGGGCCCTGTGACAAAATGTTGCGGCGAGGTGTGTTTCCTGCTCAGGATACTCCATTCCATTCCTTTTCACTCTTGGCTATCCCATCCCCAACAGTCAGTCTGCATTCAACGGCCACTGACTATGCTCAGTCCTAATTGGGCTATTTGGGTTCCCCCCCCCCACTCTTTAGGGCAGGCATCCCCAAACTCGGCCCTCCAGCTGTTTTGGGACTACAACTCCCATCATCCCTAGCTAACAGGACCAGTGGTCAGGGATGATGGGAGTTGTAGTCCCAAAACAGCTGGAGGGCCGAGTTTGGGGGTGCCTGCTTTAGGGATTGAAAATAAATAAATAAATAAATAAATAAATATCTTTTGAAAACCTTGGATTTTCCCAAGACTATGGAAAGTTCTTTTTTGCGTGAATGTGTGCTGATTTGGATACAGCACTCTGAATATCAGAAACAGGAGAAGTGATAGCTAGTATGGAATCCTCATCTTCAGAATCATAGTAGCATAGAACAGTAGAGCTGGGCAGGAATCTTTTGCCCAACGTGGGGCTTGAACCCACAAATAGCACGCCAGTGCATATCTGTTTGTGGGGGGGTCTGGGGAAGTAGCAGGAGATGGTTACTGCCTTCATGCGCTGCTGGTGGGCTCTGATAGCTACTGCAGGAAATGAGAGTCTGGTTAGATGGGACTTGTTGTGGTTTGGCAGGGCTGTGTTCTTAGAAGCTGGACCTAACAATTGCTTTGAAAATTGTTAATCTGCCTCTCTTGGTAGCTTAATTGCTGTTGTTAATACTGCTACTACCACATTTGTTTATCTCCAGCTCTTCCACTGGAAGTACCTAGGGCAACCCATAAAGCCTCATAATATAATCAATAAAACTGCCAGAACAGCTTACAATTTCTAAAAGCAGCTAACAAATTAACATATAACACAACAACCTAAAAACAAACACATAATGGATATTAATATTAGTATCAAAGCTCCCATCTCTTGTTAGTAGTACAGGATCAGGCATGTGATAAGTACTCTGTTGTTTGTTTCCACCAAACTGCAAGCAATGCCAAAAAAGGGGGAAAAGCAAAAGGCTTCGTTTTCAATTATTGCAGATCAATGCTTTCTAAGTGCCTTTCCACTATCCGAGTTCCACCTCTTAGATTATTCTTTGCCTTGTTCATGATGATACACCAAGAACATAATCGCTTCCCACTCCTCCTGTGGGATGTCCAAAATTACCTTCAGAAAATTGAATCTGCCTTAATCCTACCCGAAATTTCACAGTACCTAATTACAGAATTGCAATCAATCATTAAAGCAAAAGAGACACCATTTGTGAATTTCACAGCTAATCTTATTGCAGACTCATGTCCTAGCAAGGGGCTTTTTAGTCTATGTGCTTGTCCCATTTCAAACTTAATTAAAGCTAACAATTTGCTTAAAGCCTGTCAAATTAAGGGGGGAAATTTCCCAGGGTAGGAAGAAAAATAACTCTTGGCTTAGGGTTCTGCAGAATGTATTTCCTTACTTCTCAGAAAACTTGACAGTAAAAACTCAGACGCCATCATCTACCATTGACAGCTGTCAGAAGAGACAGAAAAGGGGAGCTTCTAATGCCACAGTAATCATTTCCATAGTTAAGTGTACAGTCACTTGCACAAGGCTGCTCCTGGAGACACTCAGAATTCACTCCTATTGTTTGGTTAGCTTACTTCACCCTTTATACCCTGTGCCTTCCTCTTTTGCAAATGCACAAGGGTTCCTGAAGAGGTCACCTTTCGTACATTAGAACACATGAATGGCAGAACACACCAGTCTTCCATATAGGGCTTCTCTAGATAACCTATGGATTCAACATTCATCCCAATTTGCTTGCACTAAGCTTACATGGAGGTTAGATTACTTCATGCTGATTTGTTTACAGACTGCTAAAGGATGCAGGTGGCGCTGTGGTCTAAACCACAGAGCCTAGGGCTTGCCGATCAGAAGGTCGGTGGTTCGAATCCCCACGATGGAGTGAGCTCCCGTTGCTCAGGCCCTGCTCCTGCCAACCTAGCAGTTCAAAAGCATGTCAAAGTGCAAGTAGATAAATAGGTACCGCTCCGGCGGGAAGGTAAATGGTGTTTCCATGTGCTGCTCTGGTTCGCCAGAAGCGGCTTAGTCATGCTGGCCACATGACCCGGAAGCTGTCTGCGGACAAACATCGACTCTCTCAGCCAGTAAACAAGATGAGCACCGCAACCTCAGAGTTGTCAGCGACTGGACCTAACGGTCAGGGGTCCCTTTACCTTTACCTAAAGGATGAATATTCTTCCTGCACTCTTCCTAATTTTTTGGTAGGGTCTTCTCCATGGTAATCCATCCACCCACCCCATACTTTTCAGTTCATGTCCCCACCACTTTCCTAATCATGAAGGTCATTAGGAAAAAAAAGTGGATCTATTGCATTTGGGCAGCAGTTTGTTTTAATCCCTTTTATTGCTCCAGTGCGCATTTCTGACAGTGACCAAGCATGTGCACCAGGGTAGTGGGGATGTGCCCAAATGGCTGCCCCCAATTTGCCTGTGTTTTCATAGATGGCTGAACTGGGGTTGTCTGTTCACTTCTGTTCTAGGAATAAAAATCCAGCCCTTAAAATGATCCTTGAAATTGTTTCAAAGGACAAAGGGGATGCTTGCAATTCCGGAGTGAGGAGGAGGAATCTTCAGTGTGCCTCCGCCTTTGCTCTTAGGCCTTTTTCTTTCAAAAACTTGCTAAAGCTGCTGTCACACTGGAAAATATGAATGGTAGAAGCAGCAGAGTCCACTGCTACTACCACAGTGCCAACTCTGCTGGATTGGGTATAGTATTCAGCTAAGTTTACTCAGAATAGACACACTGAAATTAATGGACCACAGTCTTGTAGCTGTGAATTCCACAAGTTACCTGTGGGCTGGAGGGGGGGGGAGAACTGTCCTTTATCTTTTCATTCAATTGAATCTTCACCAAAATTTCAGTCCTCAATGATATTTTCCAAGTATATAGCTATCAGGGGCACCATCTGGTGGGGCAGGGTCCCCCAAATTTTCAAGGAGGGGGCTGGGCCCCCTCAAAATTCTGTGGTGACTGAGCGCATGTCATGTGCGCATGCCACATGACATGCTCACTTCACTCATGCACGCTGTGCTATGTGCGTGACACATCAGAACGTCACACGGTGTGTGGGGGTGACATCAGGATTCTAAATACTGAAAAGGCAAGGTCTAAAAACAAGGGGCCATTTAGGACCCTGATCCGTTTTGAGTCTGGGTTGTTCCTTAAATTTGTTTCAGACCATGCCTCACCACTGAGATCCCACTGCACCCTTCCATTCCAGCAAGCAGCCTTGACAAAGGTGCAGGAATAGTTCTCTAACACAATGTCCTCCCTCAGGATTTAGGTTCTCACTAATGCTGCAAGCATGTCCAGGGTTCCTGGGAGCCCTGAAGACAGGTAGCTGGCCCAACTCACACAAAAAGGGAGCCGAAAAGGTTCCCCATTCCTTATCTATGGGGTTAGTCGGAGAGTTGGAGGTAGGAGTAATGCTGGAAAGCTGGAAAATTGTAGAAATTTGAAAGTGTAATGCTGGTGGTCATCAACAGAAGTTTAAAGACAATCAAGGCAAATCTAAAAAAAAAAAAAAAAAGTATAAACACTGACAACTGGGAAACACTGGCATGCGAGTGTTCCAGTTGGAAAACAGCCTTTACCAAAGGTGTCATGGGCTTTGAAGATGCTCGAACTCGGGACGAAAGGGAAAAACGTGCTAAGAGGAACACACTTGGAAAACCCTCACCGTGATCAACTCCCACCCAGAAACCTATGTCCCTGCTGTGGAAGGACATGTGGATCCAGAATTGGCCTCCACTTACGGACTGTGTTAAGACCATGTTCATGGAAGACAATCTTACTTGGCTATGAGTGATTGCCAAAGGAGGAGTAGGAGTAGGTGGGGGTACATGATAGTGGACAGGAATACAAGCAGAGTCACAGTCTCTGGTTAAGTATAAGCTAACAACAAGGAACTGAAGTCACAGTATTAGTTTCCTTCTTACATCCATCTGGGAGGTGGAATAGTTTAGTTCAGTCCAGTCGGGAGAGCATTAGACTCTTAATCTCAGGGTTATTGGTTTGAACCCCATGTTGGGTGAAAGATTCCTGTATTGTAGGTGGTTGGACTAGATGACCTTATGGTCCCTTTCAACTCTATAAGTCTCCGATTCTGTGACACAGTTGCCTGTGTTGTAATAATAATAATAATAATAATAATAATAATAATAATAATAACAACAACAACAACAATAAAAATTATATCCCGCCCATCTGGCTGGGTTTCCCCAGTCACTCTGGGCAGCTTCCAACAAAAGATTAAAAATATATTAAAACATCAGTCACTAAAAACTTCCCTAAACAGGGCTGCCTTCAGATGTCTTCTAAACATCAAATAGTTGTTTTTCTCTTTGACATCTGGTGGGAGGGCGTTCCACAGGGCAGGCGCCACTACCGAGAAGGCCCTCTGCCTGGTTCCCTGTAACTTGGCTTCTCGCAGTGAGGGAACCGCCAGAAGGCCTTTGGAACCAGATCTCAGTGTCCAGGTTGAACGATGGGGGTGGAGACGCTCCTTCAGGTATACAGGACCAAGGCCATTTAGGGCTTTAAAGGTCAGCACCAACACTTTGAATTGTGCTCAGAAACATACTGGGAGCCAGTGTAGGTCTTTTCAATGAGTGGGAATTGGTGCGTGAGCTGCTCCCAGCTCGGTTAACTCATGCACACAACTGGTCTGCAGTTAGGCTAGAGAATTCTTAGCCTGATGGGGAAGCAATACTTTAAAAAAAATATGGAGGCTTTATTGTTTTTCATTCCTTTTCTGACAACCTATTCCAGTTTAAAAGCACAAGCTTCATTCCCAATGTGAAATGCAAGGGCTTTTGGCTGCACTTAAGTAAAGCTGTAAGCAGAGTGTCATGACTTGCACAGGTGTTCTGCAGATCACTCACTCCAAGTTCCACTCAGCGGCACCTTAATGGAGACAGATTCTCCCTTTTTCCAATCATACTGACTGTTCCTGGACAGAATCAAGTTACTCTGAATTAGGTCTGGGCTTTCTGTCATGGCTGAACTGAGACGTCACAGCTCAAATCATTGCCTGAGCTATGAGAAATAGTGGCAGCTAGCTGAGAAAAGACTTGAGCGCTCGGCTGTGACCAAGTGGGTGTTCCCAAAACCTCTCCTCACAATTGGGAGCTTCGTAAACCATTTTTCGTCAGAGAACTCCAGCTTAAAATCCAGTGTAGTAGCATGAGGCATAGGTACTGGATAGCACGAACAGAGTAAACGAGGCTCATTTTGAAAATAAAAACAAAAACAATCACTTATTCACACTCTTGTTTTTTGTTATATGTCTGGAAACTCAAAGTATGGTGTGGGCAATTACAGTAGGTTGGTCACAATGTCTTTTTATTTTTTTTTAACTTTCAATTGGCCCGATTCTCGGGCGAGTACTGTATTTTTCTGTGTATAAGACTAGGTTACTTTCTTAAAATATTGTGCTAAAAACTTGGGGTCGTCTTATACACGGATAGTGGAGAGGTGGTGGCTGCTGTGGCGTTTTTGCTAGTGATTGGTGGGTGCTGCAAGGTCCACTGGCTATTGGCTGCTGTGGCAATTGGGTGGGCAATTGGTGCTTCCATTTGGTGAGCGTGCAGCTGATTGTTTGCTTCGCCGATGTGCGTGTGATTGCAGGTGAGCGATTTTTTTTTTAAATGATATTTATTCCAAATTTAAAGTTACAAAAAGGAAAATAAAAAACCATAGAAAATACAAAAAAAAAACTTTCACCATAACAAAACGAAAAATGAACAAGTAAAAATGAACAGTAAAATAGGATAAAAGAAAAAGACTTAACAAAAAATATAAAAATACATTAAGTTAGAATAAAACGAAAACAGATTAAACCTTTACATAACCTTTTCCCTTTACTTATTTCCATGACCTCCTCTCACCCCCCAATTTTGTATTCTAGTTCAGATCATATTTCCAGCAAATCCTTCTAACCTTATTTTCATTTACGTATTTTAAAATTAAAATAATGTAATTAAACCTCCTCTATTTCATCAATTTCATCAACTCATTTTTGCTTAATCCTTTATGTCATGTCTACCCAAACAACCTAATATTCTTTTTCCAACCTCTTTCTAACAGTCTTTTATATTGCAATATTTTTGAAGGTATATTTTGAATTTTTTCCAATCTTCTTCCATCGACCCTTCCCCCTGGTCTCGCAGGTGAGCGATTTTTGGCACTCCCCCCAAAAAGCTCAACAAGTCTGGGCAATCTCCCCCCATTTTCTTTATCTGGAGTCCCAAAAAAGAGGGGGCATCTTATACATGGGGGCATCTTATACATGGAAAAATACAGTACTTATGTGCTACTTAATGTTTTAGGTAGGGTTGCCATATTTCAAATAGTTAAAAATCCGGACAGAAAAGTTGTTGCACTACATTTTTGAGCTCTTTTTATGGAAAATCGGCAAAAATGACCCTGCCGACATGGGCCAGATTTTCCCGTTTTTCCGATTTTCGGCCAGACACTGCTGCCATCTGCAGTATTCCACATATGTCTGGGAAATTCCGGACATATGTTGTTGTTGTTGTTTAGTCGTGTCCGACTCTTCGTGACCCCATGGACCAGAGCACGCCAGGCCCTCCTGTCTTCCACTGCCTCCCGCAGTTTGGTCAAACTCATGCTGGTAGCTTCGAGAACACTGTCCAAACATCTCATCCTCTGTCATCCCCTTCTCCTTGTGCCCTCCATCTTTCCCAACATCAGGGTCTTTTTCAGGGAGTCTTCTCTTCTCATGAGGTGGCCAAAGTATTGGAGCCTCAGCTTCAGGATCTGTCCTTCCAGTGAGCACTCAGGGCTGATTTCCTTAAGAATATGGCAACCCTGTTTTAGGGTGACCTGGGGAGCTATGACTGAAAGGAAGATAGGCTGGAAATACCACAGACTTTTGAGGGGGCGGGAAAGGAAGGTAGTAAGAAGCAAGAGTCACCAGCTATGACTCTTGTCATGTTTGTTACTGAGGACAATAGCCAACCCATCTTGTTTGACATGCTACTCAGAATTGATCTGGCATGGTTATCCATGCCAATGCCATTCATTCACTCATTCATTCAATCTTTCTCTAAAGCACTTTCTGAAAGTTGGCTGGCCTCCTGTCAACTATAGCTTCCACAATGCATTAGTTTAGGATATGCCTGAACTCAGCTTGTCTGCCAGACACATCTGCACATTAAACTCCAAGGTCCAGAATAACCACACATGAGTTGCTGCACAAAACAGAAAATGAGACAATTTTTCCCTACTAATTATACCAGTAGGCACAAATTTGAAGTACAGGGTTGCATTCAACTACGTGTTACTCAGAGCAAAACCCACTGAAATTAATGAATCTTAGACAGCAATGCATGTTGACTTCAATAGGCCTACTCTGAATAGAACTAGCACTGAATACCACCCATAGGAATTTTGCCTTGAGTTGTGAATGGTGATGGGAAAGTTGCCAGGTCCAAGTAGGGATGGACCAATGTGTCAATTTCAATTTCTCTCAGTTTCTCATTTGTCCAGTCTTAAGTTCGGTTCTCCAAATTTCCACGTCAATTTAGGATTTATTTTTTTTAAAAGTCCTCATGAAAATTCATCAGCATTTAATTGCATTTCCCCTGATACACTAGTTTGCATGCAATTTTATCTAATATACACTTTTTAAAAAAGCAATTCTCCCTAATACAATGCATCTTTGTAAGTTAATTTGACCAATCTATATACTTCTCTGCACAATTTGTCCCAGTTTATGTATTTTGCACACATTATGAAAATTGCAAAATTGGGAGAAGCACGAATTTTGAAGGATGGCTCTGCTTCTGTTCTTGAATTATTTTTGGAGGTGCAAATTAAATAGGCTCACCTTCAGATGCAAACTAAATTGAATTATTCCTTCATCTCTAGTGGCAACTACAGTCCTGTCTTTAAAGGTTTTTGAGAGAACTTTGCAACAACTCCCTTTTCCAGCTCAAATGAAGGCTTCCCCGCCTTCAGTTTAGCTCAAAGTCTGAATTCATCAAAATGCGTTCTTTAGTGACCATGTTACATGAAATAAAATATCCCGTAATGATGAAATAACTCAGGCTACTGTAACAAGACATAAGGCATGGCATGCAAAAGTGCTCTTAAAAACCATGGCATACCAGTTAAAACTGGAGCAAGAGCCATTTACACTATTGATTTCTCTGTGACATTAAGGGTCCAAATTCAATCATTATTCTCTTGGGTTGTCAAAGGTTAATAACAGCTGAATTTTGGACCAAAGAATCAACACAAACATTGCCAGGTAAAAACAGTAAATTGTTTCCATCTGAAGCAAAGTCAATACACGACTCTTTTCTTCTTTTTCTTTCAAGTGACAGCTTTTTGTGAAGGCCTGGGGAGAAGAGTAAGAGGAGGAAATGCCGTCCTCCTTTCAAGCCCACTGGTTCTTCACTAACCAGTTCCTCCACTAACCTACTCATCTTCAGTCAATTCTGCCAAATATTTGATCACTCTCCCACAGAAAAGGTCCGCTCTCTCTACTTTCCATACAGAAAATAGTTTCATGGGGAAAGAAAGTGGCTTTCATATTGCTCCTCAAATTCAGTTCCCCAGAATTTCCATTTAAAATGTGTTAGGTAGAAGTAGGGTTGAGCAAATGTGTCAATTTTAGTTTCTCTCAGATTCTCATTTTTCCAGTCTCAGGTCGATTCCTCCACATTTCCATGACAGTCTTCTTTTCTGAAGGCCTCATGGAAATTCATCAGCGTTTTATTTTGAATGTCTCTTAATATATACATTTGAATGCAATTTTGCCTAATATACGTCTTCGTGAAAAGCAATCTGCTATCACACAAGGCATTTTTTGTATGCTATTTCCATGAGCGTATGCATCTTAACACACATTTACCCCTATTCTTGAACATGTTACTTGGCTGAAGACCCCATTACAAAATTTGGATAAGTGCACATTTTGACGGATGCCTGTATTTCAGTTCACACATTGCTTTTATATGTGTCGGAAGCCTCTCAGAGTGGCTGGGGCAGCACAGCCAGATAAAC